CGTGGAAAAGGGGTCCTTCACTTTACTTTTGTTAATTTTGAAACTAGCTCGACTTTCATGTTTATTGTACATTTGATCAGACATCCAAGGGAAGTGGTGTTTGCAACATTAGTGGCTGAACTATATTACTAAGCTTAGGCAGTACTGTGTAAACAAAGCTGGCTTGTGTAACTAACTGCTTACATCATCAGTGAGCTACAATTCATGTGTAGGTCTGTTAGTGTTGGCACATCTGATGGCTGCCTTAGGCAATTTACCTTAAGTGTGTAGGCTTCAAGATTTTGCTGGTACTGACATGTTTTTTAAAACTAGTTTTCAAATGGCTTGGTGAAGGACACTTTGTATGATTTTCACAGACACAGGAACAGTAAAAGGCCACACTGCCTGTGTTAAAGTTGTGGGCTTGACTAACGATGGGCCACACTGTCTGTGTTAAAGTTGTGGGCTTGACTAATGATGGGCCACACTGCCTGTGTTAAAGTTGTGGGCTTGACTAACGATGGGCCACACTGCCTGTGTTAAAGTTGTGGGCTTGACTAACGATGGGCCACACTGCCTGTGTTAAAGTTGTGGGCTTGACTAACGATGGGCCACACTGCCTGTGTTAAAGTTGTGGGCTTGACTAACGATGGGCCACACTGCCTGTGTTAAAGTTGTTGGCTTGACTAATGATGGGCCACACTGCCTGTGTTAAAGTTGTTGGCTTGACTAATGATGGGCCACACTGACTGTGTTAAAGTTGTGCGCTTGACTAACGATGGGCCACACTGCCTGGGTTAAAGTTGTGGGCTTGACTAATGATGGGCCACACTGTCTGTGTTAAAGTTGTGGGCTTGACTAACGATGGGCCACACTGCCTGTGTTAAAGTTGTAGGCTTGACTAATGATGGGCCACACTGTCTGTGTTAAAGTTGTGCGCTTGACTAATGATGGGCCATACTGTCTGTGTTAAAGTTGTGGGCTTGACTTATGATGGGCCACACTGTGTTAAAGTTGTGGGCTTGACTAATGATGTGCCACACTGCCTGTGTTAAAGTTGTGGACTTGACTAACGATGGGCCACATTGTCTGTGTTAAAGTTGTGAGCTTGACTAACGATGGACCACACTGCCTGTGTTAAAGTTGTGGGCTTGACTAATGATGGGCCACACTGCCTGTGTTAAAGTTGTGGGCTTGACTAATGATGGGCCACACTGTCTGTGTTAAAGTTGTGGGCTTGACTAATGATGGGCCATACTGTCTGTGTTAAAGTTGTGGGCTTGACTAATGATGGGCCACACTGTCTGTGTTAAAGTTGTGGGCTTGACTAATGATGTGCCACACTGCCTGTGTTAAAGTTGTGGACTTGACTAACGATGGGCCACATTGTCTGTGTTAAAGTTGTGAGCTTGACTAACGATGGACCACACTGCCTGTGTTAAAGTTGTGGGCTTGACTAATGATGGGCCACACTACATGTGTTAAAGTTGTGGGCTTGACTAATGATGGGCCACACTGCCTGTGTTAAAGTTGTGGGCTTGACTAATAATGGGCCACACTATCTGTGTTAAAGTTGTGGGCTTGACTAACGATGGGCCACACTGTCTGTGTTAAAGTTGTGGGCTTGACTAATGATGGGCCACACTGCCTGTGTTAAAGTTGTGGGCTTGACTAAAGATGGGCCTCACTGCCTGTGTTAAAGTTGTGGGCTTGACTAAAGATGGGCCACACTGCCTGTGTTAAAGTTGTGGGCTTGACTAACGATTGTCCACACTGCCTGTGTTAAAGTTGTGGGCTTGAATAATGACTAATGACTCCACTAATAATAAATTAACAATGATATAACCCTGATATATAAATTTTTGAATATCAAGATTTCTGTTGTACCTGAAGTGCTGTCTTGAAAAACATGACAAGGATGCAGTAGCCAACCAAATAGTTCCACCTGGGAGAGACACAAAAACATAAACAAGTTACAGAAAGAAAGAAATTCCAACAAAACTATTTTTTTTTTAATGCAAAAAAATTATTTAATAATAAAAATTAAAAAAACACACAAAAAACTCATTCATATATACCCCAACCACAGCAAAACATTTTTCTATGCATGTGTTGGTATTTGGCACCCATGTCAACCTAGTCTAAACTAGGTACCTGGTTACGTCCGAGTACTGGTCTATACAATTATAGGTCTAATGCATAAACAAAATGCACGAAGAGCTTTCTTTTCCTCTGATTTGATTTGCTTTGTGTTGGTGAGTGAGCTTCTTTCTGCATTATGATTTTTGTCTATTTCTGTTTCTCTGAGGAGCGGCTGGCCAAGTGGTTAGAATGCTGGGCTCTCACACGGGAGACTCAGGTTCGAATCCTCAGTAAAGCTGGGGATTTTTTTCTGTCGGGGGCAAAATAAAATCCTCACCTGCACAGTCGTGGCGACAGCACTAGCCATGCGGCCATAAATCTCTAGGCTCAAAGACCCGACTGCCTACACCTCAAAAGTGGTATACATAAGTTAGTAGCTGGCAGTTGTCTGCCTCACTCCTACCACCAATATATCTCTTGACTATTTACATTTCTTTGGCTTTCTATTATTCCATCTCACTTCTGCTGTCATCCTCTCTCCATGTCTACATCTGTGTCACCCCTATTTTCTCATTACCTTCCCAGCCCTCTACTATTTATCTGTCATCAAAGAACTTTCGTTTCAGTTGAGTTGAGTCAAGAATTGACATCACGGCACTCGGGGCATTCTCAGGTGTGCTGCAACCTCATCTTCAGCAGCCAGCGCAGAGTTCCAATACTGATGGTCCCGGTCACAATCTGGTTATATGTCTGTCTTGCCTTTCCTCCGAGTGTAGTGAGCCGGTCAGACCCTCTGGTTACACCGAGGTGCCTCATTCTCTCCAGACCATAATTATCTTGTTTCTCTACTGATTCCGTTGCTTGTTCCCAAAGGGCGTTTCAAAACAAAGCAATCAATACAAAATTAACTAAACTAAAAAAAAAAACATCCTTATGCTTACATTCTCAGCATTGACCTCAGTGGTTTCAGAAAGAACTCCTTGCCGAACCACATGAAGCAGAAGACAGCAATGACATAAAAGAGGGAGAAAATGTTTATCCGTGTAGCCCCAGTGATGAAGACGATGGCCATGGTCAGCCAGAACATGTGTTCAAATACCAGGTGCTTCACCATGTCGATGCCCTTCCTGTAAGAGAACAAGACCAATATATAAGAATATATACATGTGTGTTGGGGAAAGGGAGAAAGAAAGGGGGTGGGGGGTTGAGGTGTATGTGATAATGACGAAGGCAGAGATTGAAATACATATAGATAACAGGGAGTGAGACATGCAGGCAGGTATACAGACAGACAGAAAGACTAGACAGATTAGACAGACACAGACAGATAGATAGACAGACAGACAGACAGACAGACAGACAGACAGATAGGCAGACAATCAGATAGAAGAGGAGAGAGAGAGAGAGAGAGAGAGAGAGAGAGAGAGAGAGAGAGAGAGAGAGAGAGAGAGAGAGAGAGAGAGAGAGAGAGAGAGAGAGAGAATATGCACATATGACTATATTTCCTATAGTAAAATGTATAAAAATCATGCATACATATATATGTGTGTGTGTGTATTTTCTTAACTCTTTGAGTCCCAAGGAACGCATCACGCGCTGATTTTTTACTACTTGGCGGCCCAAACAGCGCATGACGTGTGACGGTGTTTAATTTACCACTTATCGGTAATTACACTCAAACCGCTCAATTTAAACTTCCTTTCCAGTTCTCAAGTGTGTAGTGAACACACGTGGAGTGCATTCGTTTGGGTATGGTGAGTTTTTAATGCTTTAAATCGATATTTGTGTGGTCTACTACGTTACCAAACAATTGTCTGAAAACAATATGTCCGATCAGTTATCGTCTTCACGCCCAGCAAAGCGATTTACTGCTTTAGAATTATCAAATTTGATAAAACAGTGGATCGATTAAAGTAATGTGGAGTTGGATAATGATAGTAGCGACGTGAAATTTCCCCAAACCGTTGACGAGTCAAGTTTTGATGAGGATGTGTGCGTAATTTACCTCCTGCTAAGAGGACAAAACTGACTAATTCTGCCATGGCAACACAACAGAATCACCTTGTAACGCGACACCAGCTAGTCCAAATGTCAGCGCTTCTAGTACTACTATCCATATAATCTAAAACCATAGATATATATCTATGAACAGGTTGACATGTTTACAGTGCCTTTACAGTTTTTGCTTTGAGAGGAATTCAATTGTTTTTAGAAAAGTCACTGTTTATGCCACTGGAGAATATATTTTGATGTGTTATGGTAGTGTTTTTAAAATTGCCATGGAACAACAACTATTGCACATTTTGCTTTAATATTGGCTGTACATACTTATAAGTGGTGTACCTTTCTTTGTGATGCATTTTGGATATACTATATCAAGAATTTTGGGATCAGCTTCTCGGTAAGTGGAAAAAACTTGTTCATAATTTACTTACCTCTCAAACTAAGTCACTGTTTTCTTTACTAAATACTAACTAACAGTATAATTGTTTGTTGTAGCAGTATGCTAATATTAATCCTTATCCATTTATGTTTATTTTCATGTATGATTTGTGTATGTTGGACATCAGCTGCAGTTGTATAGTTTGTTTTAAAGTGCTGCATTTGTTAAAAGTCAAAATCATATTACCCCCTTGGGCCTCTGATGCAAAACTCCCTGGGACTCAAAGAGTTAAGTCTTTCATGTCCCAATGTGACATAAACCCTCAACCAATTCTTTGCAGATTTATCCATCACTAGTCTGATTTTGCAGCTAATATTTTCTTTGGGATGAGGCAGACAGTCTTATTCCAACTTTCCTTAACTGCACTGTATGTCATGCATGGTAGATTACAGTATTACTTTTCCCAAAGGCCCCAGTAAGAATGAAAAATTATTTTTTGTGTGAAGAACTAATGATGAAAAACAAAATACAAATTGATAGATATTATATGTTAAATTATATACATATTTTCCAGCTCTTGTTTACAATGTTTACAAGAAAAAAAGAGTAGATATATAAACACATATCTCTACACTCTCCCTCCCCCTACCCCCTGCCAATTTTTTTCAGATGAGAAGGTCACATGCCACAATGAAGTCTGTGGTAAGTAAAGGTCCCTTTTCCACGCCTTTAGGCAGATAGGGCTAGACCTATATTTTTACAGACCAATCGGCACAAGATGGGGAAGTCTGTCGTGCCACACATGTATTCCACTGTTTCACGCAGTTTGGTTTCCATGAGTATGCCAACTGGCCAAACCTGTGTTCTCACTACTGGAGGCTATGAGCATGTGTGTAGCACATGTTCATAATTCTGTGGTGCCTGTCTGCATGTGCAAAGTTCTGAATCCCTAGTCGAGAATCTCCTGTAAATATGGCTGCAGAGTCTGTTGTGTAAGCAATCTAAATGGTCTGTTTCTTCTAGGTAAGGATTTTGATTGGGTCTGCAAGACAGGAAAACCATGCGGGAGCCATCCGTCGTTACATCAGGATCTGTGTTAGCGCAGTCGATAGGAGGCTCGCCTTCAAATCCAGCTGTGACTCGCTGCAGCCATGGTCGGTGTTAAAAATCAGGTGGTTCCTGGGGTTCACCTAGCCTCTAGGAAATGGGTACCAGAAATGACACTCTGGGGTGAATGAAGGAATGTCGCTGCAGTGACGGACTTACATGCGAACGGCGACACAGACGGACAGTTTCTTATCAGCTGTCCATACTGGTGGCAGAGCACTTATGGTTTATAACTGTGTGCAGTAAGGCTGGTTCACATCTCCTGACTTTACCTTTTACCTTTTTACATCAGCCAGAACAGAATGGGAGTTGTTAGCCCAGAAATACTTAGAGACATAGATGGGTGCACTTATGGTCATGTCTGATGTGCCATAAAGATGATCTCTAATATAAACTATGAACTATGGGTCTGCAGAATTTGTCCTGGATGAGAAGTGTTTCAATGGATCCAATACTCTATTCTAATATTTTCTCTATAAAAAAATGAAACAATAATAGAATAGACTTTTCTTAGCCAAATAATTAATCTTACGTTTGCTCTAGAGTAAAGTCTTTGCAAGGGATAGGTTTATTCTGCTCCACGTCATCCAAGATGTCTGCGTTGTCCCCTCCACCATAACGTTCCATCCTTTCACGGTTACCTTCAATGCTGAAGACAAACGCTTGTAGACTGACAAACAGCAGCTGAAGAAAGTCGGCTGTGTAATAAAACACCATGATTAAACATGGCTCTGAAACATTCTAAACAAAAGGTAGTGGAAAAGTGTATGTCAAAATCTGTTATTTGGAATCTGTCCATGTTTTTTACTATTCTTCTGTTTCTGTCTATTATTCTATCAATGAAGCATAGGCAGACATCATTTTGTGTCAAGCCTTGAGATTATGGCAGTAATGGACATGGAACAAAGAATGCTGTTCACGATGTTTCAGCATGTGATCCTGTCAGTGATAGATTATGGACATGGAATGTTTACCATATCAAAGAGTCAGCTGATGTAACGAACGCATACAGAATGAAGCCATGGGGGTAATTCTGGGATGTACAAGAGATAGTCCAGTAGTATGAATGAGAATTATATTTTAACTGCCTACTATTGCTAATAAGCTCAAAGTACTGCAATCAAAGTCATATCTCAGAGTAGCTGCAGACAAGAAGCACCTCCTGCATTAAACCCTGGGTAGAGCTAAGGGTCACAGACTGAAAAGAGGAAGGTCTTAGATAGTGCAAGTTGAAGACACGATTGGACATGTGTGCAAGCTTGATAATTTTGTGCGAGGAGAGGAGTGGGTCAAGGTATCCAAACTAAGTTTCAGACTTGTGTAGGGTTCTTTTCACTTAGAGTCGTGAGAGCAGGGACTGGCTAGCTGGCGCAGCAGAATCAGAAGTTCAACACATGATTTACTATACAGATGGCTCTGTGTTGAGGGACAGACGAAGTGCATATGGTTTCATAGCAAAAGCGAATGGATGTCTCTTGTTACAGCAAAGCCTAGCATATGATATCACAACGTCTCGTAAGCTGTTTAATTTTTTTTAGTTAATTTCTTTTGAGAAATCCTTAGTATATTATTACCTAACAAGGGTATTTTCCACAGTTCTACAAAATGATATCTGTTACATCAAAAGACATGTATTACAAAAGAAACTGATAATAATTATCATAGAATCAATGAGACACCATACCTATAAGTTGCAATTTTATTAAAGGTAAAGATGATAAGATCGACTTCACTGCACTAGGTTTTATCCCATATGGCTCAGTCTCTCTCCACAGAGCACAACCTCTATAGCTCTAGTGACGATCCCCAGGGATCTCTGTATAAAACTGCACTTGTGAACTGAATAGCGCCACCGTGAAATGAACCCATGACCTTCAGAAACTTACCTATGAGCACAAGAGAGTGTGGAGGTTTGATATAGTCTGGTAAATACAACCACTGCTTCAGGTTTGGTGTCAAGTTCTTGTTTTCTGCCCACGGGTATTCTGTAGAACACATTATCACAAGTAAACTATTGCCACAATTTGCAAGTATTTCCTTCTTTTAACAAACACAAATTTCTTCAATAGAAATATATTTAAGCACTGACTGTTACTTACAAAGTACTCCCACAAAAAATGCTTTAAGGATTTATTAAAGATTTATGCAGAACAAATGATATCATTGCTCTTTGGACAAGCCAAAAATGCTTAGTCTTTCCCAGCAACTCAATGAGTTAAAGATGTGCAGTTGGAATCCAGAGCTGTTCCAAGTTTTGTCTACTGATTGTTTCTATGAGAAAGCTCCACTGGGTTGTAGCAGGGTCTGCATGCTGAAAGCGTACTGAGTCACTTCAAAGATCCACTGTGCATGGAGTTAACTTTATATTTTCCTCCAGGTATGTGGGTGTTGTTGGAAATGAAAGAACTCACAGACTGACTAGCTCTGCCTTAGTTGCAGATGGTCAGTCTGCAGATAACACAGATATTATTAATGCTCTTAGAGACAGAGAATGAACAGAAGTTTTTGGGGCAGCATATCAACGCTGCTGCTAAGATTTCAAGAGCTGGGAGTAAAGATCACCACAATATACTCACGTATGCAAACACCCGGGGGGAAGCCAAGAACAACAATAAACTGAACAGCTAGCAAAATGGCCAACACCAGCTTGTAGATGGGCCACAGGTTGGCTATGGTTCTCCGAGACATCATCATGATGGCAGCAACTAACACAATATATACCAGGGCCACAGCATCCACCCGCAGACAAACAGTCACCGCAGTCATGATGTAGCAGCACTGAAAGTTGAAATGTACATCATCATTCAAATAGTGCACTTTAGAATAAGACATGAAAATATCGTAACGATAGCATTTTAACTAGAAAAGTTTACATTTTATTCTGTAAAAACATTTGGAAAAACACGTTCTAACTTTATAAAATCTGGAGTGGTCCACGGAAGTATTACAAACTTATTTTTTTTCCAAGCCATTTAAAATAAAATTGTGTTTTATTTCTTCGCCTAATATCTGTAAATGTTATACAACTACTCCATCGTCATTTCCTTTTTTTGTATGCTGTTTTGTTTCTGGTTGTTTTCTAATCTTCTTCTCTTCTTTGCGTTTGGTTTCTTAATCACAGGTCAGGCCATCAGGTGGGTTGCCTCTATGAACTCGCATGTCAGCTGCAGGTCCTTTATGGTTCCCCATAGCATGCTCTGCATACTTTGCTCTTGAGGCCAGGTGTCTTTTTGAAGTTATATGCAGAGTGGGCAGGTGTTTGTGGTCTTGTTTGACAGGCACACCATGGGGACTGTACAATCTTTATTTTATGCATGTGGTAGTTGAGCCTGCAGTGTCCTGTTCGTAAACGGAATATTGTTGTATGAAGCTTTCTGTTGAGTCTGCTGATGGGTCTTGTGGATGTTTACTGTTAGTTTGTTCTCTCCATGTTTCCTTGTATATCTCGTTGATCAGTGTTCTAATTTCTGGGTTTTCTAATCAAAAAGAATTGTCACTGCAATGTCTTCCATATATTTATTGTACTGACATTCTGAAAAGTTGACACACATTTTGTTTTTCACATATTTTTTTTCTTCAGTTTTATAGCCTTACTGTAGTCAACTTCCTCTGTGGTTTCTAGTGCCCAAATGGGGTGGGGAAGGCTAACTGTCACCCTAACAAGCCTGTTGGAGTAGGTGGCTAATTATGCAGAAAAAGACATTTAACTCTTTGTCCCAGGGAGTTTAGCTTCACAGGCATAAGGGGTAGTCAAGAGAGACATAAAATAGGCGCATCATGCGTTCACTGGGCCTCTAGGTAAGAATCTATAAACTTATGATGCGTGTCTTGGGACTCAAAGAGTTAAAGACATATATTTCTCACTAGATTTTGACATTACTCAAAGAATCTGAGAATTCCCAAGTCCTTTCCAAGGGGTACTTACCTCAAGGCCAAACTTGTAGAAAAAGTAGTTTGCAAAGAACTTGATGCACGAGACAATCCCCTTGTCGGCATCAGCCCTGGTGATGCTGGAGAACAGTATGCCCCGATCAGGTTTGTGGATCAGTGGATTCCTATAGTACTGTCTCTGATGGTAGCGGATGATGCTCTCAAACACAATCAGAACCAACACCAGGACATAGAACTGGAGAAAAACATAAATACCTAAATGTTAGTCACTGAAAGAAAAACAAACTTGTATATTTTAATAAGTAAGCATCCTTGTGTGGGTTCTGGGGCCCCAATGTAGGGGAGGGAATGAAAAAAAAAAAAAAAGACTTGCCTCCTCCTTAACAAGAATGGTGTAAGAGTCAACTAATAAGAGGTTTTCCTTCGAAGTCAGAGTGCATATGCTTGAGAGGCAAGCGAAAAACAGTCTGCATATAAAAAAGCCGGATCAGTAAAATTGAAGCTCTGGATCAAAATCTAAGTCCTGGAGTGGATGAAAAACCAGAACTTTCTGCAGTTTATAACCAGTGAACAATAAGAACAATAAAATTGCGGGACATTAAGACTGGATACTTTTTCAACAGCTCTTATTTCAACAATTTATACTTAAACAAGAAAATGTCTACAAGCTACCACACTCACGACTCAGTTCACTATAACAATCATCATTATTGTTTAGGCTCTTTGTGGTAGCCTGGGAGAGACAAGGCAAAGGTGCTGGCCTGGATTCGACAGGGTTAAACAAAACTGAGAAACAGACTGCAAGCCTTATGTCATGCATCAACAGCATAGCAGGATGATGATGGGAAAATCACTTAGCTTTAAGGAGACATTACTGACCATGTGAAAATCAATCATTGAATGTTGCTTTTATTGATCTTATCAAGGCATTTGATTAGGTTAGTTAAAAGTCTGCTCAATACACTGAAAATGACTGGGTGTTCACCTACCCAAGTAAGCATTATTGAGTCGTTTCACACAGGTATGAAAGGTACAATCACCTTCGATGGTGTAACAGAGGAGGAGTTCGTAATCAACAATGAAGTGAAGAAGGGATGCGTACTTGCTCCTACCCTCTTTGGAATATACTTCTCACTTCTTTCAAAACATGACTTTTGAGGTCAGGAAGGTGGTATATTCATCCTTCTCAAACTGATGGTAGCTGCTGTTTACAGGTGAAACAGCAATAACCACCCACTCAGGAAAGAAGCTGCAATGTTTACTGTTTGCACATGCTGATGCATGCTGTGAATTTGGACTAACAATCAGTAAAAAAAAAAGATAAAAGTTATGGTGCAAGGTGTTAATGATAGACCTGCAGTCTACATTGAGGATGAAGAACTGAAGAGAGTTGACCATTTTACCTATCTGAGTTCCACAGTGAACAACAAACTAGCCGAACCTAAAAATCAACATCAGGATAGGTAAGGCAGCAACAACAATGAGCAGATCAACAAAAAGAGTTTGGGAGAGCAAAAAGCTCAGGATTAAAACAAAACCTCTTGTCTATCAGGCTTGTATTCTCAGCACTCTGCTTTATGGCAGTGAAACTTAATTAACTTATTCGCACCAAGAGAGGCGGCTAAATAGCTTTCATGTGTGATACAATGCTCAGTCTATGAAGGCTCAGGTGACTTGTACACATGGAGAATGGAGGATGGCAAAGTCCTTAAGGGCATCCTTTATGATGAACTAAAGACGGATAGAAGATGTTGAGGCCGACCTCTACTACGATATAAAGACGTGTGTAAGTGGGACATGAATGATACAGTCATTGAGGTGGGCTCGTAGGAACAAAATGCCATGGACCGTGTTGTGTGGAGGGGCACATCAGGGAGGGAATGAGAATGAAGGAAGAAATGATTGCAGAAAGGATGAGAGCTGAGCGTCTGAGAAGAAACAGACTAAACACAAACATTCACAACAACGGTCCTGAAATCCCAATCTATAACTGTGGAAGACATTTCTTAAAGCTGGCAGGTCTTGCTAGTCACACTCGCCATCGCCATGGGCTGTGAGTCCCATGCCTTCTCACAGTGCAATATAACACTGCTGTCTGGAAAGACGGAAAGGTGCCAATAATCAATCACTCATCATGAGGTTTCCAGGGCAGCATTCTGGGGGGAGGGGGGTGAAAAGGGATAAACCACTGCTTTCCCTATCAAGCATGTCATAAAAGGCAACTAATTAGGGATTTTTCTTCTGAAGTCAAAGCACATCTACCTGAGAGGTGAGGAACAACAGTCTGCATACAAATAGGCAGATCTGTAAAATGGAAGTGCACACAGACATCAAGTTCTGGAACAAGACTTAAGTCCAGAAATGGATGAACAACCAAAACTTTCTGCTAGAGTTGACAGCTGGCCAACACTAAGAAAAAGAAGAAGAAGACATCAATAAAGCATTCAAATGACTTTATGGTGACATTTTCTTAAGCAAAATCATATTGCAGCATCAGTCCTTCAAACAAAATAAGTTGTCAAACACAAGAGATTCCTACCCGCAGATAGTGAGAGATGGTGCTGTTAATACTTGGTGACCAAATCTTCTGTAAGCCAAACCAAATGGCATTGTCAGTTTCATTCCCCTCAGAAGTGCTGATATTATGATCCTGCAAAATAGACAGATAATTTCATTAATATTAGTTCATGTCATATGCTGGTGTGAAAGAAGATGAAAGAGCAGATGCCCTGGATGGCAGTGTGACTATCAAGAATGGGCCATCTATGGACAGGAAAAACATCACCAATATCATAAGAGAGAGTAAACATTGTGAGGCTTTCAATTTCCTTGAAAATAATTCTTCACTGAACAGACTGCACAACCTGGGTGTACCAACTGGAGCAATGAGACAAGAAAACTACGAGGGGTGCCACTGGAGCCAATGTTGTCAGTTCTGGACCTCCAAAACAAACGTTAAAAACAGAGCATATAACTGTTTAGGCATTTGGGAATGTGCTTCGTAATGCCAGGTTCGATCCCAGCTGTGGGCCTTGTGTCTTACATTGGTTTCGACAGTGGTATCGAGAAGCTGACCGCCCAGAAAGCAATGACAAACTACTGGATGTAAATTTGTCTTTAAAAAACCACAACAGCCACCCCCCCCCCCCCCCCCCCAAAAAAAAAAAAACGCTGGGGTTGGTTCTGCAATGTCCTTAAAGGATCCACAACTAACTAACTTTATAACTGTTTGGGAACTGCAGCACAACGGCTTGTCTGGCTTGTCATCCATGCTTACCCAATATGGTTTGTGTTTGGAACTGCAGATCCAGAAAATGGTGAGTGGTATGTTGCCAGAGAACTGGTGGTGCCTTATGCAACAATTATATAAACCAGAACAGAATGGGAGTTGTTAGCCTAAAACACTTGGAGACATACTCAGGAGGAGACTGGAGAACTTATGGTCATGTCTAATGAAGATGATGTTTAAATGAACAATGAATAATTAATATTAGTCCAATGAAAGCAATATACATGGCCCTCATCTTTCTTATTTATCATCAAAATGATGTTTGTTGTGTTGTGTCCACTGACTCTTTCAGTACTAAGAACTAATGACAGCATCAGGAATGGATCAGTTCCTGCTGACTGGCAGGAACTGACAGGACAGTTACCTCAAATCTCTACCTAAACCAGGTAAATACAAGAAGAAATTTTTTGATTTAATTACTAGTATGGCCCAGAGGTTTTTAATCTTTTCAGGTAAGTCTCATTGAATGTATGGACCCTCCTTCCATAACAAATGTGATTAAAAAGGAGGACAAAGAGAAGAATCCCAAACATTATTAACAAGAGCTTGGAGAAAAACATCCACATAAATCAAATGTCAAATAATATAAAAGAAACAATCAAAACAACTGGCAATTTAGTGTCCAAAATATCAATTTGATGGTAACACAGCTTTGTTTTGATTATATCTGCTTTTTGTGTGGTCTGATGTTGGTTGGATGACACAACAGAGATCACACTCCACATCATGCTGGAAGTGCTGTTTTGTTCTGAGTAGAAAAGCACTCAATTCTAAAACTGCTTGACACTCTCCTTTTAAACTTACTTGTGCACACATGGGGAAAGGGGGAAGGGGCATGCCCTCCAGAGTTGAAAACCACTGGTATAGACCCTCAGCACATACCTTCGAGGAACCAGTTATCCTCTGACCTTTAATCTTGAACACATAGTGAGGATATTAACAAATACTTCTGGACCAGTTATCCTCAGACCTTTAATCCTGAACATATAGTGAGCACATCAACAAATACTTCTATACCAGTTATCCTCTGACCTTTAATCTTGAACACATAGTGAGGATATCAACAAATATTTCTGGAATAGTTATCCTCTGACCTTTAATCTTGAACACATAGTGAGGGTATCAACAAATACTTCTGGAATAGTTATCCTCTGACCTTTAATCTTAAACACATAGTGAGAGTATCAACAAATATTTCAGGACCAGTTATCCTCTGACCTTTAATCATTAACTTAGATCATCAATACATACCTCAGAACCAGTTATCCTCTGACCTTTAATCGTAAATACACAGTCAGATCATCAATACATACCTCAGAACCAGTTATCCTCTGACCTTTAATCATTAACATAGTTAGATCATCAATACATAATTCAAAAACCAATTATCCTCTGACCTTTAATCATTAACTAGTTAGATCATCAATACATAATTCAGAACCAATTATCCTCTGACCTTTAATCATTAACTAGTTAGATCATCAATACATAATTCAGAACCAGTTATCCTCTGACCTTTAATCATTAACTAGTTAGATCATCAATACATAATTCTGAACCAGTTATCCTCTGCCCTTTAATTATTAACATAGTTAGATCATCAATAAATACCTCAGAACCAGTTATCCTTTGAAATTCAGTCATGAACATATTGAAATCATCAACACATATCTCAGAACCAGTTATCCTCTGACCTTTAATCATGAACACACAGTGAGATCATCAACACATATCTCAGAACCCAATTATCCTCTGACCTTCAATCATGAACACACAGTGCGATCATCAATACTTACCTCACATCCGGTGATCCAGTAATGGGTCTCCACCAGGCTCAGCTGGAAGATCATCTTGGCCAGGATGATCACTGTCGTCCACACAAGAGTCACGTGGGACAGCAACAGGCTGGCCTTTGATAGTGGTAACAGGACAGCGACTAGCAGGACATAGATGGCAGTCAGAGCCGACACCTGTTCACAAAATAACCACAGGTGAACATTTGATAGGCTACTTTTACACAGGTGAACACTGGATATGATGTTGCTTTTACCTAGGTGAAAATTGTATACAATGTTTTTTTTAAAGTATCTAGGTACAAGGATAACAGCATCTGTGGCTTAGGCGTTGCCAACACGCCTGATGTGGGCGGTCATGCCTTTTCACAACCTTCTATCTCCAACAGTATTTTTCACCTCATGTGTTGACCATTATCACTGCCCCTGCCATGATGAAAGACTGTCAAGAATCATCTCCTTTTGTCTTCCTCTATCTCTTTTTCCACAAAATCTTTCCAGTGGTCATAACATGCTCCAGTTTCCCCCTTCTAATTACATTTCTTCTTCTTCTTCTTCACTTCCTCTTTTACCCCTGTGGGTGTCGAGGGAGATATAAGGTTCTGTTTCTAGCTCTTCTGGCTGCCTCGACCATAGGCACATCGTGCTGTTGTAGAGTTTCTCTGATGTTATCCTTCCATCTTGTTCTTGGTCTACCCCGTGCTCTACGTCCTTCTTGTCTTCCCATGTATGCTTTGTATGGTATGGTGTCACAAGGCATTCTCTCTAAGTGGGCAAACCATTTCACTTGCTGTCTTTGTATGTAATCCAGAATTGGTTATGTGCCGACTTGTTCTCTTATGATCTCATTTCTGATCTTATCTCTTATGGTCACTCCTACAGCCCTTCTCAGACATCTCATTTCCGTGGTTACTAATTTTCTTTTATGGTTTCTTGTGAGTGACCATGTCTGGCACTGGTAGGACAGAGTTGGAATAAATATGCTTTGAATAAGATGTCTCTTTGTGCTGATTGGGATTGTCTTATGCTGTAAGAGGGGGGCTAGCTGTCCCAATACTTGGTTTGCTTTACTGCATCTAATGGCAATTTCTTTATCCAATTTCCCATCTTCGGTAAATGTAGTTCCCAGATATTTAAACTCAGATGCCTGTTTAATGCCTTTGTATTCTATTGTTATGTTTAGATCTGTCTTCTTTTTTTCCTATTGACATTACTTCTGTCTTTTCAGTGTTGATTCTCATATTATTTGTTTTACATTCTTCATTCATGGATGTTAGATGTTGTTGCAATTTCATGGCTGTATCTGCTATCAAGGCCTGGTCATCTGCAAAGAGTAATTCGTTGATCTTACTAAGATCTTCATTCATGGGCTTGGCATTCTTGCATATACTGTCGATGTAGGTGATAAACAGCAGTGGTGATAAGACACACCCCTGTCTTACTCCAGATGTCACTGTGAAAGGATGAGACGTTCCCTGATTTATTCTAACTACACTTCTACAATCCCTGTATAAACTTTTGCACACTTCAATGAGGTGTTTGCTTACTCCATATCTTGCCATTATTTTCCATAATAATTGTCTGTCGACTCTGTCAAATGCCTTCTCCTGGTCTACGAAAGCCACAAATAAGTTCTTATTGTATTCAATGTTCTTTTCTATTAACTGTTTAAGTGTGAAGATTGCATCTGTGCAGCTTCTATTTCTCCTAAATCCCATCTGTTCTTCTGCCAGCTGTGGTTCTATCACTGGTCTCAGTCTTGTTTCTATTATCTTGGCATACATTTTGCCAACTTGGCTTAAAAGAGAGACGCCTCGATATTGACCGCATTCTCGTTTGCTTCCTTTGTTCTTCCACAATGGTATAACTATTGCATGTTGCCAATCAATAGGGGCCGTTTGTTGTACCCATGCTGCATTGAATATTCTGTGAAGCCATCTGATGCTGCTTTCACCTGCTGCTTGAATTATTTCTGTTGGTAATCTATCAGCTCCTGGTGCTTTATATTTGGGAGACTGTTTAATGACTTTTTCTATTTCATCCATTAGTATGTGTGGTTCTAACACTGTTGCTCTGTGCTCTTCAGTTGTTCTTTCCTGCTGATCTCCTAGAGGATTAAAGAGCTCATTGAAGTATTCCCTCCATCTTTCTGCAATCTCGGGTGGATCTATCAATGGCCTTCCTGTCTTATCATTAATTATTTCGGTGGGGTTGTAGCTCTCATCTCTTTTCCGCATATTTTTAACCACTTTGAAAAAATTTCTGCTGGCTGTTTTCTCATTTTCTGCTAGTGACTCACCGAAACGTTCCCAGGATGCTTGTTTTGCTTTCTTGACACTCCTGTTGGTTTCTCTCCTTTGCAGTCTATAGTTTATATAATCTTCTTCTTTCTTTGATTTTATCCACTGTTTATATAAGTCTTTTTTCTTTTTAATTGCTTCTTTTACTTCCTCGCACCACCAAGGTGAATATTTGTTATTTCCCCGTCTGTTTCCACTCTTCCGTTTTCCACATAATTCTTCTGCAATACTAAGCATAGTGTTTTTATATATACTCCATTCTTCCTCAATATTGCCAACTACATGTGGAAGTTGTTTGAATGCTGTCTCTACTTTCTGTTTAACTGTTCTTTTACTCCTTCCTGTTTCAGATTTGCTATCTTGATGAGATCCTTGTTTTTGTTTAATTTCTTTCTGTGTTTCTTTAATGTAAGATGTTTTGCTGTTAACACAACTATTTTATGGTCAGTGTCACATAGACCATTAGGGATTGCTCTTGAATCAAGAATTCTCCTTCTTCCTTGAACTCTGGTAAGTATAAAGTCAATCTGGCTCTTGATGGAGATATCATTCCATTTGTACCAAGTGTAAAGTTGTGAATCTCTATGGTCAAAGAATGTGTTCGTAATAAAAAGATTGTGCTGGCTGCATAGATCCAATATTCTTTGACCATTTCCATTTCTAGCACTGTTCTTAGCTGCATATGGACCTAAAAATTGTTCGTATTCTCTTCTGTTATTTCCTACCCTCCCGTTGAAGTCACCCATTACATATAGTATGCTGTTTCCCTCAAAGTTCTTTATCTCATCAGACAGATCATCAAAGAATTCATCTTTCTGCTCTTCTGTATAATTATCATTGCATGGTGCATATATCTGTATATATGTTTCAGCTTGTTCTCCTCTTTTAATTTTCAAAGTAATAATTCTATCTGAGTGATAATGTATGTCTAATATGTAGTTAGATATGTCTGGATGTACCAGGAAACCCACTCCATTCTTCGATGTTTCTCCTCCTGCATATGTTAGTAAGTAGCCTCTGTGTATTTTCTTATTAATATTTCCCTTGCGTCTTATGTCAGCTAGCCCCATTAACTTGATTTTCCTTTTTTCCATCATTTCAATAATCTCTTCTGTTTTATTTCCCAGGCCAGCGGTGTTAAGTGTTGCAATCTTGTATTTCGCTGTTCTGTCTCGTAGTCCCTTAACATTACACTGCCAAGACAAAATGGCTGTCTCCTTCTGATGTTTATGATAAGGTGTCTTTGGATTCTCACCTCTTTCAAACCATCTGTGTTACTCATCTTGCTGCCCAAGAAAAGTTAAGCAAGCAGTCTCACAGAACAGAGTACGGCAAGCAAAAACTTCATTTTATACAATCTTACATTGTAACATTGTAATAACCACAAACATAATATACACTGCATTCTTTCATCATTTCTTCTTCTTCTTCTTTCTTCTTCTACCTCTTCTTCTTCTTCTTCTTCTTCGTTTTCTTCTTCTTCTTTTTATTGTCCCTGTCAGTGGTTTTCAGATGTGACGGGTGTTCTTGATATCCGGGATCCACAGTGGGGCTGGCCATCCACTGCCTCTAATTCCATGAACAATACCCTCTAAAACTGTTCTATCCAAGCCATTATGGTATTTACTGAGTGGCCTAAGTATTTAAGTTCATGAGAAATGACAAGGTTTATCAAAGCTTGTTTTCCTATACGGTGAAGGACAATTTTTTTTTGTTACCTTAAAGCCCCACCCTGGCTGTAGTCAGGGGCCCTAATATAACCTAATGGTTGAATGGGGTTTTTGGAACTTGTACCCGGGTGATTCTAATCTGAATGGTGCCACTTTGTGTCACCAGGTCTTTGCTGCTTGTTGTGCGGTTGAACATCACTCAATAAGGTTTATGAGCCAGTTTGCCCATTGATATTCAGATATTTGAACTGCTGGTGCCCATTTAAGAGGGGAAAAAGAATACACTCAATGCGCTCTTAACAAGCATGTCCCTCAGTGCGACTAATTAGGGGTGTTTCCATTGGAACTGAAACTGTCAACTGCTGAAGATGAGGACAGTGCACATATAGGACAATCCCAGGTGCTGTGTTGTTGATTTAGCTCTCCCTGAGTGGTTCCAGGGTCCCATCATGGTGGGGGGAAGAAAAGACCAATTACTTCACCCAACAAGCATGTTGTAAGAGTCAACTATTTAGGGATTTCCTTCGAAGTCTGAGTACATCTGCCCGAGAGGCAAGGAACCAAAAAAGAAAAGAAAAAAAAAAGCCAAATTTGGGAAATGGATAGGTATGCAAAACTAGGGTTCTGAAATAAGACCAAAATCCAGAAGTGGATGAACAACCAGAACTTTTAGCTAGAGTTTCCAGTTGGTGAATGCTAAGAAGAAGAATAAGGAGTAAACTTTAGCTACACATAAAACATGAACACTCACCTCATTGACAGAGACAATAATGATGAACAAAGTCACAAGCTTGAAGATGTGTATCTCGCCCAATCTCCAAAGAAAGATAGTAAATTTATTCCATAGTTCAGTAACATAAAGCACCTTCTTTTTCAGGAAGTTCCGCCATGAGCCACCTGTAGTTAAAAAAAAAAAAAGAATGGTTCCTGTTACGCTCACCAGCTGTAAACTTAAACAGAAGTTCTGGTTGTTCGTCCACTTCTGGACTTTAGTTTTTTTCTTTCCGTTTTTTTTTTTCTCCTCCAGAGTTTTGGTGCAATCCATTTTACAGATCTGAATTATCTGCATGCAGACTGTTGGTTCATTGTTTCTTGGCAGATGTACCCCACTATGAGGGAAATAACACTAATCATTCGACTTTTACCAAATGCTTGTTAAGGGGGCAGTGGTCATTCCCCCCCCCCCCCCACATGGGCCCCAGAAACCACACACTGAAGTCCCTTTATTTATTTCTAAGATACTTCCCTTCAACTGAACCTTAGTTATGTGTATAGGGAACTTACATTCTACATCTTCATATGGTACTTTTTCTTCCTCAACATAATCATCATCAAACTAGCACCTCGCCATCTGGTATGGGTGATTATGCCTCCCCAGAACTTGCAATCTCCCTCAGCATGTAAATGTTCATAGGATGAAATCCTTCTCTGCCAAGAGAATGTTGTCAAGAACCTTCTCGTATTGTCTTTCTCTATCCCTGTTTCCACAAAATGGTGAAAATATGGGGATGACTGCAGTCAAGCTAATACAAGAAATTCCAGTGAACTGTGACTAGCTGCCGGCCGAAACGTTATTTGTGTTGTTTTGTGCACGTTTTTCTGCTTCCCCATTTGGTTATGATTTTTAGTCACAGTTCACTGGAATTTCTGTTTCTACAAATCTTTCCAGCTGTCATATGTTCCAGTTTCTTTCTTCTCATAGCATGGTAAAAAGAAATATGATGACCGTCTCTTTCAGAAGTTTGTGATAAGTTGTATTTGGGTCCTCACCTCTTTGAAACATGCAAATAACATCATCATTATCCTGCAGCAGGTCCTTTGCAGAACGTCGCTCCCATCATGGTCTGCCTGAAAGAAACTCAGTCTCTCACCGTCTCTCCCGCCTCATGTACTGTTTCATATTCAAGGGGTCACTTATATATTGTGCCCATCTTTATATTGGTTGGCCCTTACCCCTTCCTTTCAGGTACCATGCCTTCTGTTATTATTTTTTCCTATCTGCCATGGGGCTTGATATGACCAGAATATTTTGGCTTCTGAGATAAAATGTTTGTTGATCTGCCTGGCTTGAAGGTCTCACCATCAGACCTTTGAGTTTTGTTTTTGGCTTCCATAATGAGTTTCTTGGGATAATAATAATGTCATTTCCCCTTGCTTTCCACATCCACATGGCTTAACAATCAGGTTTCTTTATTTACAGTTATTAATAGCTATCACAGCATGAAGAATCTATGATGCAGCATCAACAAACAAGCTAAAGCAATAATTTTGTGATTATTAAACGTTTCAATGTCTACTTAAGGATATGAGACTTTTGCTCAATCAACAAAGAAAAATTTGGAGCTTTCAAATTCAAATACTACAGAAAAGTTTATAGAATACAAGAGGAAGAAGAAAACATAAACATCCGACATGATCTGAACACTTTGGAGAAGGAGAACTGACTCATAAACAGCATCCTGTCCTGAAGGCTGAGAAATTTTTGCCATGTTAAATGTCATGGTGACCTGGAAAAAGTGCTGATGGAAGTTAGGACTTCTGGAAAATGAGCCAACCCCAGGGAAGGCAGATACAAGACACTGAAGGTGTACTGGCTATGAAAACATATAGGGCGGAAGAACTGGCTATGAAAACATATAGGGCGGAAGAACTGGCTATGAAAACATATAGGGCAGAAGAACTGGCTATGAAAACATATAGGGCGGAAGAACTGGCTATGAAAACATACAGGGCGGAAGAACTGGCTATAAAAACATATAGGGTGATATAGGGCGGAAGAACTGGCTATGAAAACATACAGGGCGGAAGAACTGGCTATAAAAACATATAGGGTGATATAGGGCGGAAGAACTGGCTATGAAAACATATAGGGCGGAAGAACTGGCTATGAAAACATATAGGGCGGAAGAACTGACTAGAGAAAGAGAGGCCTTCAGGTGTATTAAGACTAGAGTAATGGTGTGTAAAAAGACTACTAATGATGAATAGTTATCAGAGCTCCAAAGGAAAATAAAAAATATTTTACTGGACATAAATCAATTATTCCTCTCTAAAAATGCTTAAAAAGTTTATTTTACCCAGATCACTAATAAATGTGTTACTAATTTAACGTAAATTAATAATTTTGTATGGAATATATATATATATATATATATATGTTTTTGAAGGGAAAAAAACAAACTGGTTTTTAAAAAAAAGGAGAAGAAGAAAATTTTTTAATCTATTTTTTTAGTAAATGTTTCATATCTTGACCTCCTTAATGCTACTGACGCGCAAACACAGCCAACTGCGTTAACTTCATCTCGTAAACACATCACTTAGAAAAGTTGGTAAAGTGTCTTTAATGTGGACCCAAATGCAAGTGTTGGTTTTGCAGCTTCTTGGGGCAATAGGGTTAAATGTGAAATACATACCACGGCGTTTGCATTGTTCTTCTTGGTCACTGGAGAATGCTTCTTCTTCATCTTCAGTGATATTTTGAAGATTTCTTTCATCATCACTTCTGGCGGTGCTGGAACCCTCTGGAATATTCCTTGGAAGAAACATTCACAAAATAATGTTAGGTGAAGCAGTACACATACACTGGGATGTCTCCGTGGTGAAGTGGTCAAGCTGGTTATCTCATGTTGTGCAGGTTGTGTGTTCGTTTCTTATTTGTTTCGTTTGATTCACTAGTGCAATTTTTAGGGACACCCTTGGTGTTCATCATTGGAGCTATGGTGTCTGTGGTTTGTGTGGCACTTTCTGCAGATGGCTAGCTATCCTATGAAGGGAGATCAAGCTATTTGGAATAAAAACCAGTGCAAATAAGTTGGCTCTTCTGACTTTAACTTTTAATTGAACATAAACTGATGATATAGGTGTGGCCTGAATAATATGGAAAGTTCGGTTTCTGAAAGAAAGGGCAGGGGTAGACCAGCATGACCGTGGACACAGGATATAAAAGACACACTGGGCATGAAATTTTAAACAGTGGGAGAGTTGGTAAGGGACACACTGGCTTTCTGGCATGCTACGGTGACAGTGAGTTCTTGCAAAGGACCTGCTACATCATCATCATCAGGTGCCTTGCTGACTGGCATGGGCGATCATGCCTCTCCACAATCTGCGATCTCCTGCAGCATGTATCAGTTCGTGTGCTGACACACCTCTATGCCATGCAACCAGACTGTCAAGAATCTTCTTCTATCCCTCCTTCCACAGATTGCTTCAGTGATCACAACATGTCCTTTTATCCTCTTCTTATAACATGGCCGAAAAATGATGACTGTCTCCTTGTGATGTCTGTGATAAGTTGTCTTCGGGCTCCCACCTCTTTCAAAACTTCTTGGTTGCTCTTTTTGGCTGTCTAAGGTATTTTAAGCAATCTTCTGTAAAACCACATCCCTGAGGTCTCAATGATTTTCTATGAATAATACAGCGATGGTTTCCACTACATGAATAATTAATAAGTGTAATGCAGACAAGTATTTTAAACACTGGAGCTTAAAGAAAGTCAAAGTAGAGGGGGGCAGGTGCAAAAAAAAAAAAAAAGGTGATATTTTATGCTGGTAAACTACATCAAAAGATAAACTAGACTTGAGCAATGTTGAGCCACACACCAGATGCAGTGGTTATATATTACCACTGACTTTTAGTACACAAATGGCACCTGATGCTGAAGGTGATAATGAATGTACAGTTTATATAATAAATTAAAAAAAAAAAATTAAAAAAAATAAAAATAAAAACTGAAAGACCTTTTTTCACACATTCTGGCATACTGGGTATATGATTCTGTTCCTTGTCTGACCATCTCAACTTTTCATAACACTTCCTGGTTTCCACTTTTGATTGTATCGAATCGTCCATACAAATGTAATGATCACTCAGTATGTCCATTTAGGCTCAAGATGTGGGAAAAGAAACTTTCTAGACAGCGAATTTCCAGTGTGGGTTTCTGGGCCCCTTTGTGGGGCAAACAAGAACAGACCCACTGCCTCCCCAATAAGCATGTCATAAGTCGACTAATTGCGGGCTTCTATCGAAGTCGGAGTGCATCTGCCTGAGAGGCAAGAAACCAACAGTCTGCATACAAAAAAGTCAAGTCTATAAAATGAATGTGAATGCAACACTCAGGTTTTGGAGCAGGACTAAAATCTGGAGGTTGATGAATAACCAGAACTTTTTGCTGAAGTTTACAGCTGGTGAACTTACAGAAGATGAAGCATAAGATAGTCAATAAAATTACACTTTGAGACAGATCTTAGTGGAAATAACAAAAGAAATTAATAATGAGAAAAAGTTAACTAAAATCTCATTTGAAGCTGACAAAGTGTTATCTTACTTGTATCTGTCCATGGCACTGAGTTCCAGGAATGGCTGATGGAAGTAGCGAAGTTGTAGAATAACAAACACCAGGAAACTTGTTGGGGTCAGCAGCTTGACAAAAAGACCTGCAGTGTCATACCTTTCCAATCCAATGTCTTTCAAGCTAGAAAATACAGCAACATAATTGTATGAACAATTATCAAAGTCATGGACAGCAGCTGTAAGAAGCTTCAACTCCTCTTCTTCACGTTCACCAGCTATAAAGTCTGGCAGAAAGTTTTGGTTGTTCATCCACTTCTGGACTTTAGTCTTGTTTGACAACTTGAGTGCTACATGGACATCTTTTGACCAGTCTGGCTTATCTGTATACAGATTGTTGGCTCCTTGACTTTCAAGCAGTTGCACTCCCACTTTGAAGGAAGCCCCCAATTAATCCACTCTTAGGACATGCTTGTTGGGGAGGCAGTGGGTCTATTCTTGTTTTCCTCACAATGGGGTCTGGGAATCCACACAGGGAGTAAGAAGCACAAAACCAATATCTACTTGTATGTTAGGCAAGAACGGTATCTCTACTATCTCTGTCTCTACATTTCATGTAAATAAAGATGCAGCCAATCAATAAGAATGACCTTGGCTCCCAGGTCGACCCAGCCTTGAGTGGGTACCGGGTGCAGTCCCGGGAAGTAAAGGCGGCTGGCGTGATGTTGAGCACATCACCTATCTTGTGCCAATTGGTCTATAAAAATATAGGTCTAGCCCTATATGCCCTATACGCCTAAAGGCGCGGAAAAGGGTCCTTTACTTACTTTTACTTTACAATCAATAAGAATAGGGACACACCCGGTCAGTATGGTGGTTCAGCAGGTTTATTATTTTTAGTTAAGGTAAGATTTTGCTGCTGACAACAGTTAGCCACTGCAGTTTCTTGCATATGTAGACTCAAAGGATATAGTTCCATCACTCAGCTACTCAGTTAGCCACTGCAGTTTCTTGCATATGTAGACTCAAAGGATATAGTTCCATCACTCAGCTACTGAGCTGAGTGTATGGTGTGAAACTGTGAGCTCTGGATTTCCTTTGGAATGCCTTTTGACTGTGCCAATTGTGGTTTGTGTTGTGAATAGCACACTCAGAAAATGGTGAGTGGCCTGTTGCCAGATAACTGATGGTGCCTTTTGTGATTAATTGCATGTGTAACTACTGATCTGTTGTAACTGCTTTCTCCATCAATGATGAACTGCATTTCTAGTCTGAGACTGTTTGTTTTGGTACTTCTGGTGGCTGCCTTATGCATTTAATACCTGTGTATGCTATTGGTTTTTCGAAGACTGCAGTCCATGTCAATCTTTTCACAAGGGACGGCCATGGATATTCTGTGTGGTTGTCCACTGGCACAGGAATGGAGCAACTACGGGGTGACTCATTTACTCTGAAGTTGGAACTGCAATTACCTGAGACAGAAAATAGAAATAACTCTCCACAGAAACAAAAATGGACTATTGACTTACACAGTATCATCAAAACCTGTCAGTTCGCTCCAGTAACTGTGAAACTCCTCAAACTGATATGTGTAGATCAGAGAGAGAACCAGCATGGAGTATAGCACCACCACCCACCAGAAGAAACAGTTGATTGCTCTCCACAGAGTGAAATTCACCTGCAAAATCAAACAGTTAACTCTTTATAGTCTTCTAACCTGTGCGGTCTGTGGTGACAACACTATTTATGCGGCCCTAAATCCTCAGGTTAAAGACCCCCCCCCCCCCCCCCCCAACCCTTTCCCCACCATACAAGGTAAAAGTGGTAAATAAGACAGCAATAGCAACAAGAACAAAATCTTGTCTAAAAATTATTATTCTAAATAAGGCAGTAATAACAACAACAAAACTTTAGTCTAAAATCTGACGTTCTGATATAAATCCTACAGAGGTGAGAAATAGGATTCTTCAGTCAGAGCTATATTCCCCATGTCGATTCTGGGGTTTAATTCTGGAGACAAAAAAATAGAGCCAATCCCCCCTCCCCCCTTTGCTCACCCCACAAACATGTCATAAAAGGTGATTGACCATGGGTTTGCTGAAATCAAATGTGTGGGGCTGAGAGGATCAGATATCACAATACAACGTGCCAAATATCCTTTCAAAGGCAAACACAGCAAAAAAAAACAGAAGAGCTTTACAGAGTCAATCGAATAGGATGGAGGAGTAGAGAGCCTAACACTCATGAGTTTCTTGGAAAAATAACTGTCCAGTTATATTAACTCTACCAGACTGATGTGCTGCTATTACAGGAACTCCCTAATCTGCTGCTAAACCGGTGTCCCTCAATATCGCTACTTTGTGTACTATGTAAAAACAATGCGCCACAAACTAAAAAAAGCTAACCAATCGTGGTCAGACCCCGTGTTTAGTCATTGCGAATTGCTGCCCACGTGTGTCTGGATTTTCTTGTGTCGTTTGACATGGAAAAAATTCTGAAAATTCACAATAAAATGAGCAGCCGATGAACTCGGCACTTCGACAAGATAGTAAAGTAGGTCTAGGCTTTTTAACAGCCCAACGGGTGATCGATACTTTGGTTGATTTAGACTGAGGAGTCAGAATTTCGTGAAGAATACGTTCCTAGTTGAAGTGACAGAGTCAGTGTGAGCTCGAGTGATGAGGAGAATCTTGAAAATTTAGATTCAAAACTAGATCGATAGTAGGAGAAAGGAGCGTGTCCCTCAAACAGCAACATTTGGTGCTCACTTTGTGAAACAAGGCTGATCCTACTAGGTGGACTGGCACACAAAGGTGGAATATTGGCGCTAGATGAAAGGTAAACCATTTGTCTACAATGTCTCCAAGCTTCAACTTATTCTAACCATTTGTTTGCATGTAACTAATATTTTTGTATATCATGTTGGTTTTTCGTTTTGATGCCCAGGTGCTCAGGTATAGGGGGCAGTTAGGTTCAGGGTCTCATGTCTGGTAGGGTTAATACTTATTTTTTTTTTTTTTTTTAACTTATTAAATGCACATCTGATTTCAGTCAACCTAATTAATCACCTTCTATAGCATACATGTTAAAAGGAAATAGGTATATTCTTTTTCCAACATAAACTGAGGTCCCGAATCCTCATGGGGATTCCTTATTATGTTAAAATTATAATTTTCAATTTTTGGTGTTCCATTTATTTCAACTGCAATCTTGCTATAATTTAAATAAACTAAATATATTTCAAACCCGAAAATCACAGAATCACAAACATAATGACACTCTTTTAAAGATTTGGCGACCCACCTGAAAGATGATTATAAATATAAGAAAGAGAATCATGTAGATGATGCGGTAGATGACGACATCCTGCAGTGAAATGACGGCCATCATAATCGTGCAGAAGAAGATCCAGTACTTGCAGAGAACCAACCACAAAAAGTGACCTGCAGGAAACAAATGTGCAATTATGAACAAGAACAAGGTGCGGCACACACAGGCAGACATCTTCACAAGAAAAAAATTTCTGGAGAAGAAATAAAATATTATCAGGTTACCAACAGATTTTTACAGCAAACAAAAGACACATAAAAAAAAGAACTGGCTCAAAAATTTATTAACAAAAGTAATGCTAAAAATGCAACAGAATATAAATATGTGCTTCTTCTGACTGACTGACTGACTTTCTACCCCACTAGGACATCACAAAAGCGATAAACACCCGATGACACAAAGTGCCACCATGTGGATGAGGGTCGCCGTGGAGAGGTCCCAGAAACCGCGTTCAGACAATTGGCCATATGTATGGCCTGCCTTTTTGCGGCCCCTGGCAAAAGCCAGATTGGGGCTTCAATTAATCCTAAAAAGGACGAAACTGGATATCATAACAATTAGTGCTTCTTCTTTACTAATGCTTAACTTTATTCCCCCCCCCCCCCTTCCACTCCTTTCCCATCCTTATTCTAATGTTAATTTATTAGTATATGAACTAAAGAGTGCATTAAAAGTAAAGGACCCTTTTCCACGCCTTTTATGCACACTGGGTATATAGGGCTAGACCTATATTTTATAGACCAAGCAGCATTCGCTGGGTGATGTGGTCAGCATCGTGCTGGCTGCCTTTACTTTCCAGGACTGTACCTGGTACCCACTCAAGGCTGGGTCGACCTAGGTGTCAATCAAGGTCATTATTGAAGAAAGAAATCCGGCCCTCGTCAGGAACCGAACCCCTGACCTTCCGATCCGCAGGCAAGCGTTGTCTAGCCGCTAGACCATGTCAGCTCCCTAAAGATTGCATTACAAATAATTATTAAAACAGAAATTAAGTGCAATTACAATTTGTTACAAACAGATTGCAAATAGTAAAAGTGAACGGAACAGCTCATACATAAATAGCATATACCAGACAATCTTACTACTCATTAACATTATTTAACCACTAGATAAGTATTTAGGCAGTTGTACCCCACCAGGACATCACACAAGCGATAAACACACAGTGACACAAAGTGCCACCATGCGGATCACCCGCGAAGAGGTCCCAGAAACCCCTTTCAGCCATTTAGCCATATCTATGGCTAGGCCATATCTACGCCCCGGCCTCATTCAGGGCCCCCGGCAGAAGCCAGGATGGGGCTTCAAATAACACCACAAGGGGACGACTATACAGCATATTTAACCACTAAGGAATTTTGTTCCTTTTAAATGCCAGTGATGTCATTCAGCATATGATGCTAGACCCATATGTTTATAGAACAATCAGCACTTGGCAGGTGATGTGGTCAATATCAAGCAAGCCGCCTTTACTTCCCAGAAAGTTACCTGGTATCCATTTTAGACTGGGTTGATGTGGGAGCCAAGATCAAGTTACAAAAATAAAATAATCCACCTCAATGTGGATTCAAACCCACGATCTTGAACTGGCAGGTGACGGTCTAGTTGCTATGCTACCATGTCTTCCACCCCCAACTCCCTCAACAGTTATAAACATGCTACATCAAAATTTAACTTCACATCTTACTTATATATCTAATATGAAAATAAATTCGTGTAAA